TATATATATATATATATATATATATATATATAACATTACATTTTTGTAATTAATTCATATTTCTACTTATTATTAAATTTTTCTATTCATCCATCATGTAGAATAAAAATAGTAAATCAAAATAAGTCTAATTACTTTAAATTCGTTTTTGGATTTTTATTTATTTTATTTTATTTTTTTCCAAATTGATTTGGAGTACACTTAAAATTATGTAGGATTTACTTTGAAACAATTTTCACTTAGAAATTGCTAGTAAATTTCACAAATAATTACAAAAAGAAAATCAAGTAACACATTGAATTAAATGAGAAAATTTAGAAGCAGAAAGACTGAAATAGTATTTTCTTTTAATACATACTCTAAATAATTTGTTTTATTTACAACTTGGATATTTTTTTTACAGTGTATTCTTTAATGTACCTGAAGTGATTTTAAACTGGCTAAGTATAAGAATAATAAGTATAAGAAGCATATAATAATACTATATAAACATCTCACAATAAAGGTAATAAAACCAGGCTTAACTCAATAAAAAAATTACATCATAAAACAATAGAAATAATACCTAATAAAATATTATACTACATTTTCCTCACCTTTCTCGCTCTCTCTATAATTGTAGGTGCTCTCTGTAATAATTTCTCCTGCAGAAATTCATTATTCTGCCAAACAAAATGGAATAGAAAGATTAATTTGTTTCTAAATTATGGTAATAACCACAATTTCACCTCAAATTCATCTCCAGCCCCCTACTGGGCACTGATTCAAACTGTAGACAGGGAACTCCATTTGGCAAATAGTTTATCAGCCAGTTGAAGAGGGATGCTGGGATGCTTATACCTAATTTTGTTTAGACACAGACATGACGGCCAAGTGATGGGACTGAACTCATTTGGGATTCATACACAAGGGGGAATGTAGGGGTATTTATATACACACACAAACAAACAGTTCATACAGAAATTAAAATGTAATCACCCTCATGTCATTTCAAACCCATATGCTGTTATTTTTTGTGAAATACAAAAGACTTCTGAAGAGTCATTACACAACTCTTACAATGTCAAGATTAAGATAAAAGCACCATAAAAAGTATCGCTTAAAATGTTTTTTACAGATTAGAAACTATATTTTGAAAGATACCTTGTTATGTACTAATAGAAGTCTGTCTCCTATAGAAAAACTACTTTTTCAAACACCTGGAAAGAAGTCAAATTGACACTTAAGACTGGTTTTGTGGTCCAGGGTCACATATGAGGTTCTTATATTCATTTGAAGGACAAGTAATTTTAAATACTAGACTTGTTTGGGAGAGGGAACTTTCTATCTCTATATGTGAGGAAAAATGGGGTAATATTTGGAAATATGCCAAATCCATTTCGGTATGTAACCGTGCCAAGGCGATGCAATTTAAAATTGTATCTGTGTAACATGAAACTTAAGTTTGCATTCACTGATCTTTTCAAGCTACACCTCTGCATTTGGATCCAAATATAGTGTGAAAGCTACTGTATGGATTCAGAAGACATATGGATTACTTTTTGAGTTTTATTGTCCTGTTTTGAGTATAACAGTGGCAATTATGAATTTTTGTAGTATAAAAACATCTACACATAATAAAGTTATACAGATTTGCAAAAAAAAAAATAAAAAAAATACGAGGGTGAATAAATGATGAAGTAGGATTCTTACCTTGGCTTTCTGGAAGAATTTATGTTTTAAGAGTTCTAATGATGTTGGCCTAAAAAGCAAACACTATTGAAATACATTTGCTGTAACTTTGTGTTTTCAGGCAATATCAGCTATAACAGTCATTAGAAAAAAAAAAACTTTTTCCGTTTTACACAAAAAAAGTGTACTTTTAGAAAATGGTTAAAATCATATGTCAGCTGAATAAAATATTTGAGCAATTATTCTATACTGAGCAGGTCGAGTGTGGCTGCCATGGTGGGATCACATGACCAGCTAAACACTACTTGACATACTCTGCTGTTCAAAATTTTGGGGTCAGAAAGATTTTTTTTTTTTTAAGAAATGTATACTTTTTCAGCAAGGACGCATTGAATTAATCAAAAGTGACAGTAAAGACATTTATAATGTTACAAATGATTTCTATTACAAATGAATGCTGTTCTTTTGAAATTTCTGTTTATCAAAAATATATAGACTGGAGTAATGATGCTGAAAACTCAGCTTTGCAGGACAGGTACAAATTAAAAATTAAAATATATTAAAACTGTTATTTTAAATTGTAACAATATTTCACAATATTACTGTATTACTGAATTTTTTATCAAATAAATTCAGCTTTGATGAGCATAAGAAAGAGAGACATTTAAAAAAAAATATATATATATATTTTTTTTTTAATCTTACCGACCCCAAACTTTTGAAAATTTGTGTACTTTTCTCACATGAGCCAACAAGATCATTGCGGCTCTACTCAGCACCTTTTCTCTGGTTCCTTCTGCAAACACAACGAGATCATTTTCCTCAAGGATTTCCCATATTTCTTCAACATCTCTTTATCTGTGATTCCAGTCTCAAGGCAAGGCGGATCATTCTGCAGGGTCAACATCAACACCTGCAAACACAAACACACCCAACATGCTATAAAACATGTTTCTCATTAGAGGGATGCATGACTGTCTTAAAACAGCTGTGAGATTCATTAGAGCTCATATGGGACTGTACTGTATCTCCTGCTCTTTCCTCACCTTCATAGGAGGGTATTTGTGGTAAGGAGCTGCACCTGTGGCCAGCTCGATGGCTGTGATCCCAAAACTCCAGATGTCTGCTTTGAAGTCGTAACCTTTCACCTGTACACAAACAGTCACAGATTTGTTTAACACGAGAGATGCATCCATATGCCAGCAGTTACTGGCAATTTCACACCACATTGAAGTCTTTCGAGTTTAAAAGGACGAAATAAGAGCTTTAATTGTCCATGTAATTCAGTCCATATACAGTGAGATCCAACAGTTTGAGAATATGAGAGAAAATGCTTTTATTTGGCACTTTTCCAATTTAATACCATGTGATGGCCCACCTTTGGCCCACTGTATCTTCTTAACTGGAATCAGAATTTGTGCGCTTTAAATGAGTACTAGTTGTTAGGCGGAAATACTTACCTGCTCCATCACTTCTGGAGCCATCCAACATGGCGTTCCCACAAACGTCTTCCGCACTTTATTTCGAGTCATGTCACCACCAGTGGCTAAGAAGGCACTTACACCGAAATCTAAAGATTAAAAAAAGTTAAAAAAAAAAATAAATAAATAAATTTTCACTGTCCAATATAATACGAAACATACTTTATTGTCATTGTATAGACCTTTTTCTTCGCTTCTCCATGGAGGGCGCCATAGCGGCGAGTGACTTCCTGTAGGATGCTTCGAACTTCCGTTTAGTAATTGTCATAAGTTAGCGGTAATGGCGAATCGTGGAGGCTCTGGGAAATTTTGTGCTGTTAAAGGCTGTCACAACAGCTACAGAAAGCTCAAAATGTTTCTTGATCAAGAGTGTTATGAACACAAGCCAACAATAAGAGTTCTCTCAATGTGGCTGGTGTAGTTCTAAGCTGTCAGTGTCATCTGCTTGCACTGATACATTGGCATTGTAGCATTTTTCCAAAAGACTGTTTTTTTTAATTCAAAAAGTGGTTTTGTGTCTGAAGAATTGACTCTCTCCCTGAAGTCTTGATGTGTGTCATAGCTTGGTGTAGATGGTAGCCTTTCTCCCTCCCTTGTTGATGACGCACCATATACATCATCAGCTTTGTGACGTCTAAATGTCATCTGACTAATTATTTTCTGTTCAAGGTTTCTTCTGGTTCCTGCATTCCATCTACACTGCTCATCAGTGCAAGATAGCCCTGTCATACCACTGGCCACTGCATTTTGCACCTTTCAAAAATCAGAACATACTGTTCACTTTATTTACTTTATTAGTAAACAGTACATCACCATTAACACTTTTTTAGAGCTAAACAATTTTGTTATAACTGAAATTTATAATTGGTTAAATATTGCTGTAAAAATAAGTCTTTACATTGAATCACACAGTCAGTGCTTGAAGTGGGCAGGTGTTGTGCCCATTTTCGACTCCCTGCCAAATTATTACCCCCCTCGTTGAAATCGCTACCTGATTGCCTAATCCTAACCCCTCCCCCACACCTAATTCTAAACCTACCAATACTAGGGGGGTAATAATCTGGCGGGGGTTAGAATTGGGCACAACACCGGCACTTCTTTTTCCCACTTCAAGCACTGCACGCGTTTAGCCACACTAGAAGTGTTGCTCTATTTATAAATACCCACCTTCCACAACACTGCAGCAGCATGGCTGCAAGACCTGCCGGGTCCAGCTACGCAGGAGCATCCAGCTGTTTCCACTACTCCGTTATTTTGTAGCATAACCCACGCGATGTGATTTGGTTTATTTATAGCCTGACTCGGCTCTACCTCCGCTTTCAGTAATGTGAACTGCAGATGTTTACGGCAAAGAATTCGTCCAATTTTGTTACTGTGTAGATATCTGTATGCTTTGGTACTTTTATGATTTCTAAGTTCCTCGCCATCCACACCCTCAGACAAAACAAGGTAATTGAACATGTCAACATATGTGACTGCTGGTCGTTGTTTCATATTATCAATCCAGGAGGTGGCGCTGGTCAACTTCATAGGATGAGGAACAGAAAAAGTTACATTGTTTACGGTCTTTGTCAAATAGTCTTGATCGTGCTGCCACCGTGAACTAAAGTTGCCGTTGCTTGTTGACATTATGGACGTTAAAAGTAAGTAAAACAGATTACAACCGTCGTTTCAGAGCTGTCCAAATAACTCTGTAACGCCTAACTAAACGCATCAAGCTGCAACCGGAAGTTCGAAGCATCCTCCATACGCGTACGCGCAAAGCATAATGGGTAATTTCGCGTTCCATGAAAAAGGTCTATACAATATAACAAAATTCAGTATGGCAACCTTCAGAATGCAAAGGACACTTTGAGTATAGTATGTTAAAATTAAACAGGAAACAGTAATCTGCAAAACATTACAAAAATTTGACATGAAATGTTACGCTTCCGTATTCAGATGTATAAATTACTTTTCAAAAGTCTGAGGTCAGTATGTTTTTATTACATATAAAAGAAATGAATACTTTTATTTGGTAAGGGTGCATTAAATTGATCAAATGTCACAGCAAAGACATTTATAGTGTTATAAAGATTATATTTCAAATAAATGCTGTTCTTTTTAACTTTCTATTAATCAAAGAATCCTGAAAACATGCATTATGGTTTCCACAAAAATACTGAGCAATTTAGCTGTTTGTTTTTTTAAACAATGATAATAATAAGAAATGCTTCACATCAAATCAGCATATTAGAATGATTTCTGAAGGATCATGTGACACTGAAGACTGGAGTAATGATGCTGAAAATTCAGCTTTGCGTCACAGGAATAAATTACATTTTTAAATATATTCAAACAGAAAACAGTTATTTTAAATTGTAATAATATTTTACAATATTACTGTTTGTACTGTATTTTTATTCAAATAAATGTGGCCTTGGTGAGCATAAGAGACTTCTTTCAAAAATATTTTAAAATCTTACCCACCCAAAAATTTGAAACAAAATTTGAAGAATAATAAGACAATTAAATAATAAAAATAATTAAATGACAGGCAAGAAAAAAGCACTCTCTTCAGCCAGAAATATAAAAAATTATCTCTTTAAATATCACAGCAGTATGTGCTTTTTGCATTATCTGGACTATAATGGGCATATTTCACTGTTAGGCAGAAAGTAAGTGCAGTTAAAGAGAAAGTTGGTACCTGCGATTTGCACTGATCCGTCCTCCCCCAGCAGGATGTTTCCAGCTTTGAGATCCCTGCGGACAAACACAGGGAGTCTGTCTTTAGACACACAAACAGCTGTGCAAGAATACAGATGTGGATCACTCAAATGGTCCATGTCTGTACTGACAATGTAACCCAAAACAAGTGTTTAATTTATGCACCACTAATGTCACCAAAAGAACAGAAATAACGTTTCCTTAACACTAGACAAAAACAGCTTCATGTGACAGTATCATGAATATGATCAATTAAGCATACTAAAGAGCTACTGGAGGAGGATTCAACCAGAATGAAGTCATGTTTTATTATACTATATAGGCATACAGCTTCTTGTATAAAAAGTCATTTCAGTGCACTACAATGAAATTATTTTCAATTGTAGTAAAAAATATTCAAAATTAACCAGAAATGTTGTATGTTATTCTATATTAACTTAAAAGCAATATCACCCTGTCAATAATGCCGCTGGATATTCAGAACCTTGGTGTGAAGTTATATTAAAGACTAAAGACGCCACTGGAACCAATAAGAATATATTTAACATGATTAAAGTCAGCTCACATTAATAGGTAATTCACTTTAATATATTATTTGCATCATTTATTACATTAATTACAAGACAAATCCTGTGACAAGAGCCTTCTAAAATGTAAGAGTAATTCCCACGTCTTGCATTATATTTTACAGTCCAGCGGGGGGCAGCAGAGATTTGAATTAAACTGAAGCCGCTGACGGACAGTAAAGTAAAGTAAATTAACTTTTGAACATAATTAGAAGACTTTGTTTCTGTTATCTTAACAGTCACATTCTCTTGCCATGACGATATCCAATTATGTGCTTCAGGGGTGCAAAACCATAATTGCAACCTTTCTGCAGTATAAGCCCACACACACACACACACACACACACACACACACACACACACACACACACACACACAGACCAACATATT